AAACCCGAATCGTCACTAATGTTTCGATCGAAACCCTTTTTTCGTGAGAACAGGATTCGGTATCAGGAGTGAAAGCAGGAGTGGGAGCTGGAATGGAAGTGATAGGAATTGGGAGAAGAAACCCAGAAGAGCTACTCAAAGAAGCTGGAGCTAGTTTTGTGATTAGGGATTTTAATGATCAAAATCTTTGGACTCAACTACTCGTTTAACTTCATTCTCACTCGTACACCATTCTGGGTTTAGCCCTTACACTATACGTAACGGGCTAAAACGGACAATATCTACTCGTGGTGAGCTTCGACTGATACACTCTCCTTCAGTGTTCTTTTACTTTCACAAATCACACTTGTTGCTAGCACACACGACATAGTTATTAGCTATCAATTCTTTTTAAATTATTTTTTAATCATCATATTCTCATAATCATTCTTATTCAAATGTGATATCAGTTCATTGATATATTCTCATTTACTCGGGCGTCACATGTCCACGAGCTTTCACCTCAGTTCATCCCCGACCCACATTCTATTGGGATAGATAGTAACTATTATTTTTTTTTTAACCATCGTATCTTCAGGATCACTCTCATTTTAGATGTGGTATTGACTCATTCACATACTCGGAATATCACATTTCAAAAAATTCTTTTAAGAAAGTTGAAAATGATTGTATGAACAAAAAAATTTTAAAATAATTACCATAGAGGATTGATTAAAAGGAAAAGTGTTGACCACTTCAAAAATCATTAAGAAGTCAACGCAAAAGAAATTAAAAAAAATATATATATATATATATATATATACTAGATTTGACCTTTGAAACAAAATATTTAATTTAATTTACTTTATTAATTTCATTTTATTTTATTCTTTTAGCAATTAAATATCTTATCTTAGTCTATAAAATTCTTACATTAAAGAAATATTTAGTGATTATCCTAACTTTTTTTAATTAATGCAATATGAATCCTTAATTAACCCATCAAAAAAATTAAAAAAATATGCTAATGAGGTAAATTACCTAAAATCTCTTCAAGTTTAATAATTTTATATGTTAAAAAAAATTATTTACAACAGTTAAAAATACTTTTCATCAAAATTAATGTAATGAATTTATTACTTTTTCTTCAACTTAGTTCATATTTGAATTTGACCTAATCCTTTTTTGAAATAACAAATAATGGCATTACTTTTACGGATAATTAAGTCAAGAGTCAAATAGCCATTTTAATATTCATATTTAAATCGGGCCAATGTCTAACAGAAAATGGAGCTTATAGGATCGAATTGGTTTACTACGAAACAACCTTTGCATTCAACGCACGAGCGTGCTTCTTCCAGTGATTGTTGCATAATCATCGACAGTTCTCCTCCTTACTCCCTCAGTCGTGCACGTACCTAACTGTGACATTATGTTCCCTTGGTTATCTACACTTGAGAATGACGAGACATGATGACAGTGAAAAATAATCTTAGATCAACCAACTTAAACGGAAGGAAAAACAGTGGCACAAAGGAGACAAGTCGAGAAACGGGAGGTCAACATGGTAAAGACATTGCACTAGAGTGAACACAAGACCTGCCATCAAAATTCAATGTAGACGCTAACTTAAGACCGAAACAAATTCGATGATGTAGGATTTTTAATTCATGACATCATCAATCAAACATAATTATCTTGCATTTCCAAACCTAGTATTATTTTTGTTAAATTATATGTTTTTTTATTGTTTACAATAATTTTTTTTTATTTATCATTTCTATTCTAATCTTAATTATTTCATTTTTTATTTGAGAAAATTACATTAAAAACTTTTAGTTTTAAATTTGAAATTTGAATAATTCATAGTTTAAACTTTAGTAAATAATAATATAAAAGTCTTAATTATATGAAAATATGCACAAAAATATCAATAAAATAGAACAGTTATATATATATATTATTATTATTATTTTTAACCGTATCCGTACCAAGGTAGATTTACCGTATCCAAAGTAAATAGTGGGAGCGGGGCCCATACTATGAGCTGTCATTTACCATATATTTCTTCATATTTTATGTAAACATTCCAAATTACTCTTTTATCCTTCAAATTCCACAAACGCCCAATAATAATATAAGGTAAGACAACCAATTATATATAAAAAAAAAAAAAAAAAAAAAAAAATATTT